AAGCATTTTTCATCTTTTCTCTAACTTTGTCCTATTTGTAAATCATAAAAATATATAACTTTACCTTCACAAAGTATAGTATTTTTTAAACTGCTATAAAAATGGTGAAATAAATAATTCTGGATCATTTGCTGTATACCAAATATTACCAACTAGGCATCTTTTTATATAAACTTGTATTCATTCAGAACATCTGTATATAGTGGAGGTAATTATACTTCTTCAACAGTTCTTCCATTTATAATCGTATGTGTAAGAAAGTTTTAAATTATGTTAATTGCCATAAATAACACACAGATAGATTCTCAGTTATGAGATAGTTTCAGTCATACTCCTGCTTCACACACCTTTAAACATACAAAAGCCTAGCTTCAAATTTTACTGAAAGTGTCAGCATTTAGGTTCTAAGTATGAATTTTATTCCCCCAAGAATTAACTACTACTCAAAGTAACAAATACAGGCTTTTTGTATATATACTGCCACAAATCTGCATTGAATTTATAAATGAGTTTACATAATTGACATTTTAAAAATTTTATATAAAAATAAAAAATATTTTATTAGGCAAGTGTCAAGTAATTAATGAAAACCACTATGACTGTTAACTTGGAAGAAATAATTCAATCAAGGCAAATGACTGTTCCTGCATAATTTCCAAAATTTGAGTATCTTATTTCTGTCATTCAGAAACCTTGTGAACTTTGATAATCTTACTGGGTACTACTATGCATTTTGTGTTAAGATGAAGTTCATTTGACATAGTTTTACTAGTTGCAAGGTCCAAGAAGTATGTCATCAATGTCCTGTGGAGGAAAATCATGGCTGTGATACAATATGACTCAGAAACATAAATGAAAACAGCCACCTTCACAAAGAACCAAATACTCTGTATAAACTTACTTTATAACAGACATCCTCAATTTTTAAGTCACACTAATTTTTTCACCTAAGACCCAACACACACTATTATTAAAGCTTTAATTTATTACAGTAACAAAGTCAAGTCTCAATTACTTTCCAGAAGTCCTATATCTTTAAGGCTCCATCAACACAAACCCACTGGGATCAACTTGTGTGTACTGAACATTCAGAGATAAATTACATCCAAACCACAATACATACAAAAGTTTATTCTACATTGCTGGTAGAAATGCAAGCTGGTACAGCCCCTTTGGGTGTCAGTGTGGCAATTACTCAGAAAATTAGGAAGCAGCCTTCCTCAAGACCCAGTAATACCACTTTTGGGTATATATCCAAAGGATGCTCAATCATGCCACAAGGACAAGTGCTCAACTATGTTCATAGCAGCATTGTTTGCCATAGCCAGAACCTGGAAACAACCTAAATTCCCCTAGAATGAAGAATGATAAGGAAAATGTGGTACATTTACACAATGGAGTACTACACAGCAGAAAAAATTAATGACATACTGAATTTTTGCAGGAAAATGGATGGAGCTAGAAAACATCATTTTAAGTGAAGTAACCCAGACCCAGAAAGACAATTATCACATGTACTCACTAATAAGTGGTTTTTAACATTAAAACAAAGAAAACCAGCCAATAAATCACAATCTCAGAGAATTTAGACAACAATGAAGATCCTACAAGTGACACAATAGATCTAATCTACATGGGAAGTAGAAGACAATATCTCCTACTTTGGGAGTACATTGGGAGCATGGAGACCTTGGAAGAGGGTTGAAGGGGAGAGGAGAGACAGAGAAGGGAGCAGAGCTAAGTAAAAATCAATTTTTTTAAAAAAATCAATTCTTCATAATCTTGAGGCCCTTTTGCTTTCCAGGTAATTATATATAATTACGAATCTCTGTAGATACAATTTTGCAGTAGAAAATTATGAAATGTTTACACAGTGGCTAAGGTGGATAATTATTTTTTCAAAATGCCCTGGTAAAACTATGTTATCTGAAATTCAACCAAAAATCGTCCTTCATGATTCAGATTAATTATGGAGATAACATGAGGAACTGCATTATGTTCTGAATTATATTATATAACCTGTTAGATAAATCAATTATCTTCAGTTTTTTTATCATTTACAGAAATTGACTGGAAAATATCTCTAGGTTTCTGTAACTTAATAAGTTCAATGAAAACTATAACAGTTATAGTATTTGCTTTTCATGGATCGTACAATAAAATTAAAAAGAAATTTTCTTGTAAGGGTGAAAATATGAACTGAACATCCGTAATCTAAAAATAAATGATCCAGGTTAAAGTGGCTACTGCAGATTCTTAGAGTCAGAAATACAATATTTTGACATTCACACTGAAACACATTTTTTAATTTGACACATATTTGCTCTCAGAGAATAATCTTCAAACAAATGAAACAGATGTATATTAATATCAGATTGGAAAGGAGCAGTTGGAAAATATTCTCGAGTACTTGTTAAATCAATTCTCCCAGAGGCAAAATATTCTATTCTCGCATTGCCATTTACAACACAGCTTTCCTCTACATGACACGGTGGAAACTGGAGATGTGTCATAGTCTTGTATGCACCACTGAAGTTATTTCATTGACATAATTTATGTTTTTTAAGCAAGAATATCTTTGTAAGAGGAAGGAAATATTGGAATAAAGTAAATTTGCAGCTAAGTAAAATGGAAAGCAAGCAAGCTTCTAGGTATATGATTGAGATGATTATCTTAACTAAATCACGTGATAAATCATATAATATATATATATATATATATATATATATCATCAGTAATAAATCATCTACTTAATAGAATATACAACTTGAAAGCCATAATCAAAGCGCGATATAAATGATTAAGGGAATTAAGAAAAATTAAAAAATTTATATCTATGTTTGATTTTCCTAGCTTGTGCTGTAGCATATGTGAACTTTTATTGTTGTGTAGAATTAAAAAGATTTATTATTGGTTTCCTAAAATAAAGTCTAATAGTGATATATTTTTCCTGTTATGCTTTGTTTAAATGGTCCTTGAATGGTTAGGTGTTGATTTAATAATCCACAGGGTGGTGTTATCAGTATGTGGCACATATTAGGAGGCTGTCATGCAATTATTATGTTTCTAAAGATGCTTTGGGACCCCAATTTCTCTCTTCTCTTCTCTCTATTCCCTCCCTTCACTTCCTACATCTCATCTTCTCCTCTGTTCCACTCTCTCCTCTCTCTCTCTCTCTCTCTCTCTCTCTCTCTCTCTCTCTCTCCCCTTTCTCTCCCTCTGCTTCCTGAAAATGATGAGAGCAATTTGCCCCATCATACACACCTCAAACGGCTGCGACAGTTCCTGCTCAGCATGATGGTAAGTGATGGTAAGGCCCAAAACAATGATTGCACAAAAAACTTCCAAAGGGCTATAAGAACTTCTACACACATGTCTATTGGTTCTTAGAATAGACTCAACCTATAACAATTATCAAGTGATAATTGGATATATAAAAGGAGAATATATAAAATGAATACTTACTTAGTCATTAAGTGAAAAAAAACTGTAAGATTAAGAAAAAATGAAAAGAACTGGAAACAGAAGCAATAAGCCAGATTCAGAAATTCGAACATCTCATGATTTCTATCATTTCAAATGTCTGTAGATGTTTCATTATGTTTGCAATTTTTAAGTATTATATTTTTCCTAAGATTTGCATTTAGTTATATGGATGGATGTGAATATGTGCACTCAGATGTGTGTGCTCACAGAAGCAAAGAGAGGATGACATATTTCTTTTATTTTGTAATTTTATTAAATTATAAAAGTTTCCATTTCCGCCCCTCCTCCCACCACCCTCCCACTCTCCCCACTCCCTCTCCTCCTCCCTCTCCATCCCTAAGAGCAGTCAGGGTTTCCTGCCCAGTGGGAAGTTCAAGTTCTTCCTGCCTCCCTCCAGGTCCAGGAAGGTGAGTGTCCAGACGGACTGGATCCGCAAAATCCAGTATATGCAGAGGAAACAGGTCCCAGTGCCATTGTCAATGGCTTTTCAGAAAGACTCCAGGCCAGCCACATTCAGAGAATCTGGCCACATTCAGAGAATCTGGTTGGATTGCGTCCTCGTTCAGTCCCAGTCCAACTGGCCTTGGTAAACTCTCATTAGATCAGTCCCCTTGAATCAGTGGGTGATCGCATCCCTCGCAGTCCTTATTTCCTTTTTCATTTTCTTCCTCCTTCTGCTCCTCATTTGGACCTTGGGGGGCTCAGTCCGGTGCTCCAATGTGGGTCTCCGTCTGTATCGCCATCCATCGTGGGATGAAGGTTCTCTCTGATCTTGCCTTCTTTGCTCACGTTCTCTTTCCTTCTGCTTCTCGTTTGTACCTAGGGAGTTAAGTCCAGTGTTCCGATGTGGGTCTCTGTCTCTATCTCCATCCATCGCCAGATGAGGGTTCTGGGACTCTTGTCTATTTCTTGGAGCTGGAATTATAGGGTTTTGTGTCAAACCCAACATGGGTTGTAGGAATTGAACAAATTCCTCTGCAGGAACAGCAAATATTTGTAAATTCTGAGCCATACCTTCAGTCCCAGTCTGTCTGAAGCTTCAGATATGTTTCACAAGTTGGGTCTATTCCAGATTAAGAAGGCAAAACAAAATGTAAAGTTGGGCAAAAAATTTAACACAAAGTAAATGAATGTAAATGAAGTTGGGATTATTATAAATTGTCAGACCTAATTACTGAAGTTTATATTTTTGTTCAAAATGTTAATAAGTTCCAGCATGGTGGGCACATGCCTTTTTCAGCACTTGTAAAGATGGAGGAACTCAGTGAGTTTAAGGCCAACATGGTCTACATTGGGAGTTTCAGAACAGCTAGGACTACATTGAGAGATCTTGACTCAAACCACAAAACCAAAGCCCAAACATATTAATAAAGTAGAAGTATTAAAACTTAAGTAAATATTAAAATGTGACTGTGATTTGTAAGCTTACGCAGTAAAGAAATGACAGTAAACTTTAATCTTAGAATTTTAGAAGACAGAAAACCCATGCAGAAGGAACTCTCGCCATTCTCCTTAAATCACAGGGTTCTAGTTCTCTTTATGACATCACCTTTCCACATCCCCAAACTTAGGCCCTGGCAAGTCACAAGTGGGAGAAATGTCTATACCAAGATTGTAAGTCTTTCATATTATTTTGTCTTTGCTGTAAAGTGATGCTCAGCATATTGTTACTAAGTCAATAATAAACACGGGAGAAGGCTTTAATAAGGACCTCATTCATGAGCAATAGTGTTAGCTACTCTGATGCAAAATGTATTTGTTCTACTTCAGTAAAATCTATGGACTTGGACTTTTGTTTCTTTTTTCTAGAAGTCTTAATTTTATCTCACAAATTATTCAGAGATTATCAAATGACATAGTGAATTATTGTTAACTTGGAACTTATCATCTCTCTCTGAGCCACTTAAAAATTTCTGTCCAAATAATTTAGGAAAAAAACTAGATAGATAGATAGATAGAGAGATAGATAGATAGATAGATAGGTAGATAGATAGATAGATAGATAGATAGATAGATAGATAGATAGATAGATAGATAGATAGATAGATCCAGTACCTTTAAATTATTTAAAACTTCGTGAAGAAAACCTGAAGGTAAGATGAAAGAATGGAATTCTGGAATATAAAAAAGGCAGGTCTTTTTAAACATTTACAATTCCTGTAAATTGCAGGTGATCTGTTCTGTATAAATGTGATTATCAAAGAAACTTTCTTGTGTCTACTTCTTTGGAATATATTGTTGCTAAAGAAGAGTCTGAAGATGCTCTGCATGAATTTGTCATGAATGTGTCTAAGTTTTGATAGATCTGGTTACATAAAACTAAGCACTCTTCTGGAAAATAACATGCTATCCTGGAACTCATTCTGTAGACCAGAGATCTGCCTGCCTCTACTTCCCTTGTCTGGGTATTGTATCACATTGATAGGAAAAGCATATAAGGCAAGCTCTATAGTATTAATCACCACCATTTTACCCCTACATCTCTGACATCAGCCTTTCTATCTTTTATCTTTGAGATCATCTGTTCCTTGTCTTCTTTTTCTCTTTCTATTAAAAACTATAATAATATTTACTTGAAAGTTTCCATTTCCCACCCTCCTCCCATCACCCTCCCACTCCCCCCTCCCCCTCCTCCTCCCTCTCCAACCCTAAGAGCAGTCAGGGCTTCCAGCCCTGTGGGAAGTTCAAGTTCCTCCCCCCTCCCTCCAGGTCCAGGAAGGTGAGTATCCAAACAGACTGGATCCCAAAAATCCAGTATATGCAGAGGAAACAAGTCCCAGTGTCATTGTCAATGGCTTTTCAGAAAGGCTCCTGGCCAGCCACATTCAGAGAATCCGGCCACATTCAGAAAATCTGGTTGGATCACGTGCTCGTACAGTCCCAGTCCAACTGGCCTTGGTGAACTCTCATTAGATCAGTCCCCTTGTATCAGTGGGTGATTGCACTCCTCGCGGTCCTGAGTTTTTTTTTTTTTTTTTCATGTTCTTCCTCCTTCTGCTCCTCATTTGGACCATGGGGGGCTCAGTCCGGTGCTCCAATGTGGATCTGAGCATAAGGACAGGAGTCTAACCAGAATACAGGTAGCTGTCATTAGTGTGTGCATGCTTGGTTATAATCGCAGGGCATGGAAGGCAAAGACAGAATTGGTAGAGAAAGCTAGTTAGACTCACTGAATCAGTGAGCTCTGGGATCAGGTGAAATACCATGTTTCAATACATATTGAAGACAATCATTGAGTTTGACTTTCTAATGTATATAAATATATATACACATGCACTTACATCAACATGCACTTTTACCTGCACATAATAGAGACATCCATGCATATGTATAAAATATACACATACATATTCAACTAATAAATTAAAAACTGAGATACGAGGTATGTAATTAATACTCAGATTCAGTCAGATTAACAACTGATATCCTTTTGTTACATAGTAGAACATTATAGGACAATCATACTAATGCATATTACCATTGATCTCTGTTTAAACAAAAAAGTTAAATAAAATATTGCTTCCTTCTAATAAATATTTCCCTATGATTAAATCAGGTAAGCTAGAAGTTATTAATGGAAATCTGTTTACAAAATACCTTATTAATTTGTTTTATTTTTCTAGATTATGTGCACAGTGTAATTCTTTGTCAATACTTAGAGAGCACAATGACAGTCCTGACACATACACATGCACACATACAAATATTATTTAACGACCTAGATTTTGTTAAATTATGAGAAGATATTATTTGATCTAGTTAAACATGGGTTATAAAGTGATATCTTAGTTAAATGTCAATTCCAAGAAAAGTGCTATGACTTCAAAAAATAACTTGATCAGTGTTTTAAAGATTAATTTAAAAAGATTCTAAAATTCTGGATGTGACAAGAAGGTAGGTAAGTATATATGTATCTTTCTTTTGCACATAAATATTCTTCTCATCCTAACTTAGTTTTGTTAAGGTTGGAATAATTTGTTCATCCCTACTGTCTTGTAGATGAAATCAACTCGCATAATAAGGAGAATCCAATAATTGTCTAATAGATGGTGATTTTTTACATATAATAATGATCATTTGATATATGATAATTGTCTAAAAATTTTTAAATTTTCTTTTATTTTAATAGCCTAAAAGTTACATATGGACCATATGATAATTATATTCCAGGTAAGATTAAGTTCAATATTTATTTTTTGAATGTAAGATTTTATTTTTAAATATTTTTCCTTTCTATTGAGAAGAAATTATTTTTGCTTTTCCTGATTACAATTTTCCTTCCTTCTACTCCCCCTTCAACAGGATCTAGTCCCTTTCTGTCTCTCACTAGAAAAAACAGGCTTCTAAGAGATAAATATAAAACTTAACAAAATAAAATAAAGTAACAAAAAAACCCACCATCCAAGTTGGATAAGTTGTATCAACAAAACCAAAAGAACCCAAAATAAGGCCCAAGAGTTAGAGACCCACTCATTCACAGAGGCAGGAGTCCCATTAAAATCTCGAAAATACAAGTGTAGTATACAGTCAAGGACCTGGTGCAGACCTGTGCAGGCCTTGTGATTGCTGATTTAGTCTCTATGAGTTTATATGACCTTTGTGAAGATGAAGTTGATATCTTGGTGACCTCCATCCCTTCTGACTTTTCCACTTTTCCATTTCATTTTCCATGGGTTTTCTGAGCCTTGAGGAGAGGAAGTTGGTACACACATCCCACATCCCATTTAGAATGACTATGTGTTTCTCTCTCTCTGTCTGTCTCTCTCTCTCTCTCTCTCTCTCCCCCCCCCCCCGTCTCTCTCTCTCTGTCTCTGTCCCTCTCCCTCTCCCTCCCCCCGTGTGTGTGCATCTTTGTATTTGTTTCCGTCTGTGGAAGGAAGCATCTCTGATGATAGCTAAACAAGGCACTGATCTATAAGTATAGCAGAATATCATTAGGACATTAGGAGTCATTTTATCACTGTTCTTCCTTTTTATCACTGTTTTTCTTCCTTTTCCTTTAATAATATTTGTTTTCATCTTAGCTCTTTGGGCTATCTAGTATCTGGATCTTAGTCACCAAGCAAATTTGGGTATGGGTTCTATCTCATGGACTGGGCCAATCAGATATTAGACCATTATTCCTACAAGTTTTGCCTGATTAATTTTAGACATGTGTTTATTATCTTCAGATTAAAGTCATATAAGCTACTGTGGTCTCTAATTAATATGCTATGTTTATTTCCCAAAAAACCTTTCTCATGGGCACAGGGAACACATTTCATATAGGTACATATTGTATAGATAAGGTTTTAAATTTTCTAAAATACTCTCATTTTAGAAATAATATTACATGCGGTCTTGAATTTGAAAAGTGATGAAGAAATTGAATGAATACTTTTAGTCCAGAATCTTTTACTGAATTCCATGTTGTTTATATTTAGCTCATATTACTAATATAAAAATATAGAAATATAATATAATATAAAAAATATAGAAAAAGGAAAATCTGTTTAATATTGAAAGGCTTTTAGTAGCAGCTTGTTTTCTCTCTTCAATTAAACTTCATTATGACATTCATTCTGCACATTTGAGCACTGATCCTAATGTCCTTTGGAAAGTAGCAAATCTTTTCTCTAAAATTTGAATATTTCATGTGCACTACGACAGTGTTGGTGTTCTTCATTGACCTCAGTTGTCACTGAAGCACCCGAAAATTTCTATTGCTATTTCTGGTAACATTTCTGTCTCAATCCCATTTTCTATTTGTTTACCATTTTTCTTTATTAAACAAACTTTCTATAATAGCATATCTTTTTAATATGCTACACGTCTTCTTACAGCTGAAAAAGGGAATGTTAACTGACAGGATTTTAAACCTGTAATTCAAGCACGTATTTTCTGCATATGTTATATGAAGCAATGTGCTAAGTTCTTTGGTGACTACAGAATAATTTACCACATTATCTTTCTGATCTAGATTATATTCAAAGCAAAAGAACACATGGCTAGAATCTAAACTGGAAGAGACAGCAATATTGAAATGGGAGCAATAATACTGTTTTTTTTTCCTTTATGTTATAGGCCACACTGATTTCATTATGGGGACTTTATATAGTTACTGATCAAATTCATTATTTATTTTAAAATTGGTCAGTTAGAAAATAAGAGTTTCTCATTTTGATCACTGAAAACTTTATACTATCAAATAAATGAATCTGTAATTTGCATCATTTATTTATTTGTATGGTATATGCACTATGGGGCACTTCAGTTCAGACAAGATTCTATTTATAGCAAAGCATATGTTGTCTGTCTTATTTTAGTCAGTGAATTAAGTAAAAAATCATGGAATCAGCAGTACTTTTCCCTGGCATTTCCCAAACCACCAAGACCAGGAAAGAAACGGAGATCACTACCTTCCCAGTTACATAACAATACAGCTCCTGTGAGTATATGAAAATAGCATGTATATATTAATAATAACTACTTAGAAATAATAATCTTGCAAAGTCATAAATACATTGCTAACTGCCCTATGTGGGTGAGGGCTGACATGAGTCCTCTCATGGTGGACATATTTTACTTAATTGCCACCCCTATTTCATTATTGACCATAGCTTATTGTATGCTACCTGTTCATTCAGTACTCGCACTGATAATATATTGTTTACAGAGTAAAAAAAACGAGTCAAGATACTTTAATTCACAATTAGTATGAATAGCTAGGGAATGTTCCCCAGATACACAGCCTCACAGTAGCTTCTCCTAAGAATGAAGAGAGTTTCTAATGTGTTATGCATCACTGGCGGTCTCTAACAAATTTTAATGTTAAATCTTAAAGAAAAATTTTGGTTCCTCTAAATTGAAGCAGACCACAAGTAAGGACATAATTGCTCATTACTTTAAATTATAATGAAGTTCAAATTGGAATAGACTTTAAAATCCATAATTGATCCACTGTTTTTCTACACAGATTTTGAAAATATTCAAAAATATTTCAGTTTGAAATTAAAATATGTATGTGTTATCTTACTGTTAAAGGCTATATAACATGTTTTTTTTTCCTTATGATTCTTACCAATATTGAGGTAATTGATGAACAAAAATTAGGAATTCACAGACCACCATTATGGATGCACCGTTCTCTGATGAAAATTTCCGAGAGACCATCTGTTTATTTAGCTGCCAGGAAGGGTCTTCCACTGAAATCAACTCGTTCTGGCAAGGGAGAGTCTAAAGAAGCAAGCCCACACAAACCTTCGTCTTCAGAAAAAACAAAGAAAGAAGAGAAAGTGAAGAAAGATGAGCCTGCAGCAAAAGAGAAGGCAGTGTTAAAGATAACCAAGGAAGAAAGTTCCAAACAAGGTGATAAGAAAAGTTCAAAGGAATCCCAGAAAGATAAGGTGTCAGCTTCAGAATCTGAAGGTGAAAAGGCTGGTAAAAAGAAAGAAGCCAAAAAAGGTAAGAAGGAACCAAAGGAAAAAGGATCAGTCTCAGAATCTGAAGGT